GGGAGGGCTGGATGTGCAAAGGGACAGATGACATGCAGTACAGATCCCTGCTTGGAGAAGGTTTTATGCATTAGTAAAAGTCATACTCCCCCTCTACTCTGCCCTGGTGAGGCCACATCTGGAATTTTGTGACCCCTCAGTTCTGGACCCCTCAGCTCAAGAGAGACAGGGAACTGCTGGAGAGAGTCCAGCGCAGCCACAGGGATGATGGAGGGATGGAACATCTCCCTGGTGAGGAAAGGCTGAAGGAGCTGGGGCTCTTTAGCTTGGAGAAGAGGAGGCTGAGGGGTGACCTCATTCATGTTTATAAATATGTCAAGGGGGAGTGTCAGAAGGACAGAGCCAGGCTCTTCTCAGTGATGTCAAGTGACAGGACAAGGTGCAACAGGTACAAGCTGGAACACAGGAGGTTCCACAAAAACATTAGAAAAAAGTTTTCACTGTGAATGTGACAGAGCCCTGGCACAGGCTGCCCAGGGAGGTTGTGGAGTCTCCTTCTCTGGAGACATTCAAAACCCACCTGGACGTGTTCCTGTGTGACCTACTGTGGGTGATCCTGCTCTGGCAGGGGGGTTGGACTAAATGATCTTTTGAGGTCCCTTCCAACTCCCAACATTCTGTGATTCTGAGCGATTCTCAGTGATTCTTCTCAGTTTTGTCAGCTCACCAGACTGCAGAGAACAAGAGATGTTTCCTCCTATGCCACCCAGGCAGAAGTACCAGGGACTTTCTTATAAAGATTTCTTGCCAGCTCTTGAGTCTGTGCAGTTCAGTAAGGACCGGGGTGGCATGAATGAGGGTGACATTAATCATGCACTTTTAAATTACTGCTTGTGCCCATCACACTTTGGGTTTGGAGGAAGTTTGTCAGAATATTTCCTTCTGAAGGTTTGAAGGACATGTTTTGTCCTCTGTGGCTCTTGCAGGAGGACCTACCTCCCTTCATGGAATAGGTATCTCTGAAAGGATTTGGTGAGGTTTTTTGGGTTTTTTTTTTGCTTTGTATGTTTCTTCTTCCTCCCTTGGCACCACAGCCATTAGCTGAGATCCTGTTCTGGGTGGGGAAGTTCACAGAGGTCTTCTGGGAAAATGGGTCCATTGAAAGGTACAGAAAACATGGATTTCATCCTGTCCACCTTTCCATCCCACTGTTTGCCCAGCCAGCTGCAGATGGCCTCTAAAAGCAGAGTTCTTCCAGCCTGTCTGCAGTAGGAGAGGTTCAGTTGCGTCTTTTCATGCAGCTAACAAGTGAAAACACGAATTAGCGATTGAAAATGGGTGCTTCAATTCACAGATGCTGAATCTGATACGCCAGAGAAGCACCAGCATTTCTTGAGATAGATGCTGGTGCTGGGCACCCATGCATTACACTGCCAGCTAATTCTCGTTTGCCCAGCAGATTTTCCTTTGTTTGAATATTCTTGTTTAACATTTTGCTTGCTCCTTGAAGGCTTTTGCGGATATCGTGATGATTCGGATTCACTTCACGACTACTAAAACCCAATATTTGCATTGTAGTGACTTGAACTGTAGCGCTGAAAAGCCCCTTCACACTCTGCAGCCACAGAAGAAAGTGCAAATCTCTGTTTCTAAAACTTCCAGTGCAATCTCTTCTCTCTCAGAGGTTATCAGAGTCCCTTTATCTACACCGCAAAAGAATAAAATAAAACGAAACACCAGATATTAGATTTGTTTGGGGAAGATTGCTCTGAACCCAGTCAGAAACTGGGAGTAGTTTGTTTTTCTGTCTGAGTCTGTTTAGTCTGAAAACAAAGGTCACTTTTGGACTTTGGAAGCCTGTAATCCAGTTTTGAATGTGGAGTGGGGGACCATCTTTTTTAAAAAAGGACAAAGGATTTTTTTTGGAGAGACATTAGAAGGGGCACTGAGTGACAGGCAGCGAGATCTGCAAGTCGGGCACCGTTAAGACATTTCAGATTGGGCATCTGGAAATAGAGGCCCCTGAAATCTGTTGTCAACTTTGAAAATCCTATTCCCGCCCCCTCCCCTGCCCCTCCTGCCAGCTTTGAAAGTTCAAAGTGTGTTTCTTTTTATCACATTTGTCATTCCTAAGTAATGAAGCTCTGGCATTCAAAATTTGGCTGACAGCTTCGTGGGCATGAGCCAAAATGAAGTTCAACTTGCACCTTTCTGTGATGCTCCCAGTGCTGTTGGCAGCGAGAGGCAGGAGTCTGAGCTAGAGGGACTCCAGTCTCATTCATTATGGCAATTACTATCTTCTCACTGATGCTAAAATTAAGCCTGTTTTCTTTATCCTAATGTAGGTGGACAGGAACCGATGAGGTGTATGCTACATGAATGCTGAGAGAGAAAGTGCCTTGTATAAACCATTTCTTCTCAGGCTATTCCTTCATCTTAAATAATGTAAAGGTCATAAATCTCCTGGAAATCATGCAAAATCAGTGCTCCAAAAGATCCAGGCAAGTTCAGGTATCATTTTATAGAGGCTCAAGTCCAGCACTTTAGAGTTTGCTAATTTAAAATACATTTAAATGCACTTTTAGAGTCATTTACATCTATAAACAGAACATGTAGTTCAAATGACAGGAGGAAAACTGTCTTATGGGGAAGGAGCACAACTCAGAAATGAGGTCTGATGTAAGGTCTGTGGGGCATGGCTTCTGCCTTTGTCCATAGCCACCTGTATGGATCGTGTAAGATATTTAGGATATAAATTGAGCCTGGGCCAGAGTCCAAGTGTGCCAAGCGCCCGTGCTGGATGGAAGACCAACCATGAGTATGTTGTGCCAGGTTTTGTGACAATGTCGTGTAACTCTCCGTGAGCAAACCCCAGTGCTCTCTCTTTGCTTTTGTTTAATTTGATGTTTGGCAGCAGATGGCTTGAGGATGCATTTTGAAAAGGCTCAAGTTTGGTCTCCTTGTCTGATGGCAATATGTGTGCCCGCAATGCTGTTTGCACTTGCAGTCTGAAACCTTCCTGTTCTGTGGAGATCATGCCTTCTCAGAGATGCAAAACCTCAGTTGCTGCATCGTGGGAACAGTGTGGTAGCTGACACCTATCTTGGGGATCGAGTGAAAAATCAGAGTCACCAAGTTTTTAAAACATGTAGAAATCCCACCCTGGGGTGTGTGAAAGAGCAAAGCGTGTCAGACTGGATCCTTCTTGGTTGACCAGTGTGATATTTCTGTAAAGTGTAGAGCAAAGGAACTATGAGGGCTGCTATCATTTGATTATTCTGGACCTACGCTGGTTAATCACAACCCTTCCTGGGCTGCCCTATGAAGTAATGGTCTTGAAACCATGTGGCCAGTTGTTTGTTGAGAGGAAATGTTTTAATTTTCAAATGCTTGCAATTTTTTCCCTTCTATAGCTGTTGCTGTGTTAGCAGCATAACTATAGCACCGTTGGACATCTCACACATAACATTTTTTAGGGGAGAGAAAAATGTTTTTAATGAAATTTAATTGCCATTTAAATGTGGATGAAGTTAAAGTCTGGTTTCTGATCACAAATGCACAATGCATTTGAAGAGACGTATATCTCTGAAGCTGAGATTTGCTGAATTGCCTTTTGGTGCCCAACTTACTGATTTCAACAAGAACTGAATTAGAATTTGAATTCCAGAGGCAATGTTAATATAATTCAGTTCAAATCTTATTAAACTGTCTGGATAATGGATCCCTAATGTAACACAGGTTTACAGTGTTTTCCTCAAAAACGATTATTTTTTGAAATAGAAGTTCCTGATAAAATCTTGAAGTCTTTGTTCCTGCAAGTGTATTGGCTCAGTAGCTGTCACACGATGTTCTCAGGGTTGATTCTTTTGCTTCGTTGGTGGCAAACACCTGGTGTGTCGGTTATCGAGGAACTGAAAGTTTGCATAGCGTATTTTTTTTTCTCTGAGGTCATTAGTGAACATACAAAGGGACTTTATAAATTATATCTGAGCATTGTGATACACAGGAAACCAGGAGATTACACGAGCAGTGGCTGGTTTTGAATGGGAGAGATGGAGATGATAAGCCATGCTGTTGCAAATCACTGTCAGTGACTAAAGTGGAGCAGCTCCTGAAACTCTGTGCACAGGTTTCCCAAGGAACTGGATAACAGATTTTCTCCTGGTCTAGTTTGAGATTGTATCTGAAACTTTAGAGCTGATAAACCCCGAGGAGGTATTGTCAAGGATTAGGGCTGGGCTGGCCACTAAATGCTGACAGCTGCTCTCTAATACCCTGTCTCCCCTCCCCAAAGGGGAATGGAAAGGGAATAAGAAAGAGACCCCTAATGGGTTGGAAAAGAAAACTGGAACAGTTAAATAAAACAGGAGTACTAATAAGGAGATAATGAAACATATGCAAATATATGCAAAAGTGATATTGAACCTAACTCACCCCGATAGCAATCCCCACTGATGCTGCAGAGCTGGTGGCACTGGGGAGGTCCCAGGCTCGGTGGCACAAGAGTTGGATTTGGGAACTCAGGATAGGGTTCAAAGGCAGAAGATCGGATGGGAATCCTCCTTGTATGCTGGCCTTTGAAGAAGAGACCTTAATCCACGTGATCGCTCAGCCTTAAACTGAATATGATATATATGGAATGGAATTTTTTTTGTCAGGTTTGGATCTCCTGTCCATTTCTCCCTGGTTGTACAATCTTTTTACTTCATTGCCACCACTTTTACTTCCCGGCACCCACAATATGTTACACAAGGTTTAGCAATGACCTTGGTTTCTACAGGAGCAAATATGAACAAGAGCCTTTCTGCATACCAGTCCTTGGTAGTGTGCATAAACATCAGGCGTGATCACTTCTAGTAGCAGACACTGTCTGCAAAACCATGCTGTTAGCTTCTGAAAGTGCAGCCCCTTAGAATAGACTGAGCTGAAAAGTAAAATCACTGAACAGAATTGGTTCTGTTCAGCTCAAACCAGGATGGATGTCTCTAAAATACAAATGGCAAGTGCTTTGCAGTCTGCTGTGCTAACCATATATTTTTTTATTTCCTCTCCCTCCCCAGCAATAAAAGAGAAATACATGGACTGGACAGAGTTTCTCATACACGATTTGACTGGGGCCCGGACTGCACCTGCAAATTTACTGGAAGGCGTATGTATTAGATTGCAGTTTCTATCAGACGCGGCGTCGCGGTGTGCGTGCTGCAGCGGTGTTTGCGTTCCCGATGTCTGGTGGGGTCTGATCCAGCGCTGGCCAAAAGTCAGTGGCAACGTTGCCTTGACTCTTGCTGGCTCTGCTTCTGACCCAATGATGGGTAGTTTGTTTGTCTTTACGGTGGAGGGCGGTGCTTAAAATGTTGGGTACGCAAAGAAGGCTGGGTGGTGAAGGAGAGCGTGGAGGGCATCTACACAGCCCTTCACTGCACCATTAGATCCACCCAACTGGTGACCCGGGCTTTTATTGGAGAGAAGGTTTAATCAGTTGATGGGGAGCACTGTGAGTTTTATGTGTTTATGGAAATAGCTCTCCCAAGGACCTTCCCTCCACCTAAACACAGCAGTCAGATTTAGCAATTGGGTGAGGTGGCCTCAGTCATTGGCAGTCAGCAGAGAAGAAGGGTCTGCTTTTTTAAGATGCCCCCATGTGGCCTTGAGCTTACTCTGTGCAGCATATTCACAGGGAGGTTTGCACCTGCCTTGAGATCTTGGACAAAAATCCCGCAGATCCATCTTGAAACCATGGGAGCAGGGCACCTTCTCTATTGGGATGTGCCCTGCTCTTGTGTGGGTGCTGCATAGGTGTTTGGAGAGGAGACAGTGTGTCCAGCAGAAGACAGATTTTCCTGCCACTCTGTATTTAGACTGAGGGCATACAGGCATTTTACCTTTGTGTAAACACTCGTGTTGGCTTTTTGGAAGCCAGTAGCTGAAAGGGGCTACAGGAAAGCTGGGGAGGGACTTTTTACAACAGAGTGTAGAGATAGGACAAGGGGCAGGGTTTTTAAACTAGAGCAGGGTAGATTTAGATTAGACATTAGGAAGAAGTTTTTTACTATGAGGGTGGTGAAACCCTGGCATAGGTTGCCCAGAGAGATGGTGGAGGCTCCATCCCTGGAGACATTCAAGGTCAGGCTTGATGGGGCTCTGAGCAACCTGATCTGGTTAAAGATGTCCCTGCTCACTGCAGGGGGGTTGGACTGGATGACCTTTAAAGGTCTCTTCCAGCCCAACACATTCTATGATTCTAAGTGTGTATCCAGGCTCTATTTTTGATCATTTTTGGCCTGGTCACTCCCACTGGCCACAGTTGAATCCTTTTTCCACATGCCTGTGCAGTACGAGCTGCCTGGCAGGGAGAGTTAATAGTGTACCATCAATATTTCCCTCCTCAATCTGTGAGCTGAACGCCCAAAGTAATGCATGTCCTCAGCTTCTGCTACATCCCCGTTCATGGACTGTTCCCAGGTGACACATGCAAAAAGCTTGGTGGTGTCCAACGCCCATCTTTGGTTTTACTGATGGCATCCAGAACCTCCTCCATTCCCGTCCCACAGGTAGAGAAAAGAGGCAGCCCCAGGCAGAAATGCAGGGAAAGGAAAGAGAGTATTTTTGAAGCTTTTTTCTGACCCTTTTCTGGTGTTTTATGCAATGTATGTCCTTAGTGTTGTCTGTGCCGTGCAATGTATGTACCCTCCTGTCGACAGATTTGCTGTTCATGAGTGCTGCAGATTGTTGTTATACTGTTAAATCAATATGTAGTGATACTTTTGGGTGGGGTTTTTTATGTGCCTGTGTAGAGTTCTTGTGTTAATGTTAGTATTTCATGCAAGCCAATTATTAATCTTGGCCGTTCAGTCCTCGGGGGTAAGTGACAACCCATTGGCATATAATTCAGTGCACAAATCAGGGAAAGCAATATTTGCTTTTATACAGCCAGGGATTTATTATAAGTTAAAAGTTAAATGATTACACCATCATTTCATATTAAAGAATGTTTTGTTGCAATGAAACAGCTGTATGAGAGGAAAAAATCCATTAAAGTAGATTTCTGTTACGTTACTAAATTCTGACACTACATTTTACCATGAAATAATATTTGAAGATATTATACAGGTGCTTGTAGCTTCCACTTCAGAGGAGTGGCTTGTAATGGCAAATATATTGTTCAGAGAATTATATATTAATTATGGAGCTGGTTAAAACTGTATATCTGATAAGGTTTTAGTTAATTTGAATTACATTTTTTTACTAAATTCTTATACATTTGCCTCTTATTAAGAGATATGTATTGAAAATCAACTGCATTTCAAAATTGTGGATATTTTCAAAGTTCAGTAGGAAAGTGATTTTTTTTTGAAAAACAAGATTTTCTCCTCTCTTTTCTAGCCACTCCTAGAAAGAACCATCCTGGGCTGACTCTGATTTACAGAATTAATATTTTAAAATATACTGTGAAAGGTTTATATTGTTTAATTAAGTAGAAGTGGGGCAAACACACAGTAAAAAAAAAAGTCCTTGTTTTTAATTTATTTTGCTTCTGCTTAGCATCTCCTTTGGGGACCAGTGCTTCCAATTCCTGGGGTATTTTTTAGAGCTGCTCTTAAAGACCTGGAATCGAGAAATTGCATAAGAATTGGAACTTAGATTTAATAAAAAAGAAGAAATCTAACTGTTAGGTTAGCGGAGAAAAGCTTTACAAGACAGAGATGCTCACAGTCACAAAACAAAAATGCTGAGCCCCAAAGGTATCGTTCTGCAAAGCATCTAATGTTTTTTTAATGCTTGTGGTTAGCAGCTTTGGAGGTGGAAAGTTAAGCACATGTGTAAATTGTTGCAAAACTGGGATCACAGAAAAAACCCGTGTAAGCAAATAACCCGTTGCTGGGATTTCTTGGGTGTGGTGACTTGGCCCAACAAATCCCTTGGGCTTTGATCCCAAGACTGCTTAAGCTGGTGGAAACCTATGATTGGCTTTGGAGTACCCACCATAGACTCTTGCATTCATGGCTATGGGGAATGATTTGCTCTACATGCCCGTAGGAATGAGATAAAGCCTTTGGTGGGAAAGATCATTGCACGGAGGGCAATTCTGGGGTCTTGCCCAAAGTAGTCACCTTAGAGAAGTCACCTTTTATGTAAATGACAGTGTCCAGTCCTGTGATTGGTTCTTATCAGCTGCAATCAATGAAAAATTGGTTGAAATCCTCCAGTATAACTGGGCTTTCAGTTGTTCAGGAGCATCCTAAGTGGATGTGCCTTACAGACTTTTCCACCTTTCGTTATTCTTTTTTGTTGTTGTTGTTGATGTCGGTTGAGAAATTAGCACAACTGTTGTTTTCTGTTTTACTTCTGAATTTGCACTTGGAAGACATTGGGTAAAATAGAAGAAGAACAGACTGTTTGCTGATCGCTTGGATGATGGTGTGAAAAACAAAAATAATCTTCTGCTGTCATCTGTTTCCTTGAGAAGTCTTCAAATAAAGTTTAAAATAAGGAGTTTTGCTTCTATTCAAACAGCCTCTGCGAGGAAAAAACCCTGTAGACCTCATTACAGTTGATTCCTTAATAGAGCTGCAGGATTCCCAGAATCCCTTTCAGTACTGGATAGTTAGTGTGGTTGAAAATGTTGGAGGAAGATTACGCCTTCGCTATGTGGGATTGGAGGAGACTGAATCCTATGACCAGTGGTTGTTTTACTTGGATTGCAGACTTCGACCAGTCGGTTGGTGTCAAGAGAATAAATACAGAATGGACCCACCTGCAGGTAAAGAGCCTCTTAAAAAATACTATCATCTCCTTTTGTGGCATTTGCTGATATTCTGAAATACTCGTGCAACCCATTTCTTCTTCTCCAGCATTCACATTGCTTTGGCAGGAGTTTCAAGCTGTAGCACAGGTGGCATGTGAGAGCTATCTAGTTTGGGTTCAAAGTGGGTCAGGTAAACTGTATTTATTTAATAAATCCAGTTTAGCTTGCCTCACTCCTGGAAGGAAGCAGAGTCCGATAAAAGCAGTTTTGTGCAGTTTTCCACCAAGATGCAGAGCTGATGGGGCTAGTCCCAGGATGTGCCAGCTGGCCCAGCCCTTTTCAGTGTCATTTTAGTGAGAAGGTCTTCCTGGCCATACTGTAGGCATCATGGTGGAGTCCTCACTGGGAACCAGTCCTGTGCTGTCCAAATAAAGTCCTGTGTGACACCTCTCAGCATATAAAAGGCTCCATTTGCTTTCCCCTCAACCAAAGACATCTTGCCTGTTTGTCTTGCCACGGCCACACACATTTCTCTTGGGTAGCAGTAGATCTCCATCAAATTTCCTGGGGCTGAAGAAAGTGTTTTGGAATCTTTATGGTCTCTGCAACACAAGTCTTTCATATTCTGCTGTAAGATTGTTGTACATCTCTAATGTGAGACCTGTCTTATGTGTAACCAGTCAGAAAGTGGAGCGAGGGCACTGGGTTTTTCTACCTGTCCTTGTCAGCCCGCCCATTGAGAGGTTATGAAGTGTCTGTTGATAGAAGCTAAGGAAATGCTCTGTTGGGTAATGGTAGATGGTGTCTTTCAGATTTAAAATACACACTCCCACATTTTCTCCAAGAAATCTTTGCAAGTTATGTCAGACCCAATTAAACATCAGAAGACTGAAACTTGGAGAAGCAGTTCTCTAGTGTCCAAACCAGCTTGGAGGGAGAGAAATAGGTACCGTAGTTGATCCACTGCAGATACTGTAGTTGATCCAGTGCAGACTCAGAAATCAGTCATTACAAATCTGGGAGTAGGAGAAGTTCAAGGGGCAGGGACCAGGTAGAAGGGGCAGGCACAAGCAGGCTGGGCCAGGAGGCTGAGATCAGCAGAGATTGGGAGTCAGCTGGAATCAAACTCCAAACAGTGTGACTGGATTTGGCAAAAGGATCAGGACCAAAATGGCAGGGAAAGAATGGTTGTAAGGATGAGTGTAGAGGAAGGTTAAGCGCTACCAAGGTCTAGCCAGCAGGATATGGCCTAGGGATGACAGCACACAGCAGAGGCTCAGGGCTGCTTGAAGCCTGCTGGAGAAATGCTTGTAGAGGCATGTACTGGCAGGTTCTGGGGCTAGCTTTGAAGATATGCTTCCAGGATATACCCCATTACAATGGGGGATGGCTGGGAGGGTGGATTTTCTCCACCATCCAGTAGTATTGTTCAAAACCTTGTGGAAGTTTCTGGTCAGTTTTATTTCTCTCTTCTTGGGGTGTTTGGCTCTGCGTTGGTCTGACTTGAGGTGGCCAAGTCAAGTTGGTTGACTTGACTTCCCTTGGAATTAGGGATCTGGTTAAACATGGCAGCTTAGACTCTTGCATCCATAGTCTTCTTTGGGGCAGGAAGTGTACAGTATCTGTATTTTTCATAAAATTGTAGCTTATATTTGGGACCAAAAAGCTGTTATACAAGTGGAACATGTCCCCCGTTTGCTAGCTATGTGCACCTCCAAGCTGGATGCTGCAGGACTGCCCTTTCCCTTGAGAGATGAGGTGGTTTCTTGATTAATGCACAGGTTTTGGACCAGCAGACCTCTACCTCCTTTACCTGTATAGGTAAACAACTTGTCCAGGTCTGTGCCTCATTTACAATGTGCTGTGGGTGACTTTTTTCCATAAATGTCAAATAATAGCAGACAAGTAGTGCTTCTTTGGGTATTTCTGATGTGGCTTCTGTCCATTGCAACTGATTCAGAGAGGTTACCCCGATACATACAGTTGTTGTGTTCACAGGTTTGTCTGGATCTTGGGTCTAAATCGAGATCTTGAATGCTTTTGGGAAGCATGTGTTTTGATTCGCTGGTAGGTAGGAATCAATGTTCCCCATCACTTCTAAATCAGGTGTGAATACTGGAGAGCACGGACATCACTCACTCTGTTGTTTTACAGAGCATTTGTGTTACAGAGAAACACTGTTTCATTGACTGTCTTTGAACCCTCTTGGCCTATGCAGGTTTGATGAATCAATACAGAAATGGCTGAAGCAAGAATTGTACTTTCTCTTTTGCTTATTCCACTCTCTTTCTACTCTTCCCTCTTTTTATCCAGTTGTGCTTCCTTCTCTATGGATTCCCTATCCACCCACCTTTCTTTTATTTTTATTTTTGGCTGTCTTGTCTCTAAACTTGTTATTTGACACCTTATTTGCTGAAGTAACTTATCTTTCTGCTCCCCTCTCCTTGATTTAACTAATTCGAAAATTTCTTTCTCTTCTTCTCCTATGTCTTCATCTAACATGTTTCCTCTCCTTAGCATTTCTCTGGTCATTCACTTTTTAGCAAATGTTGTTATTAATGATTTCAGTGCTCAGATCTTCTTCTTGATTTCCATCAACTTAAATACATGATCATCTTACAAAGCTGGGTCTCCCAGGAGTCTGATGTGAAAAGACTCTTTGGTTCTCAACCCTTCCATTTTCTCACAAGTCCTCTCCTAAACAGTGCTCCCGAGGAGTATTCCTGAGTCCCTGCTTCTGCTCTACCCAGTCAGGCTCTACCGGAGTAGCCAGTTAGAAATGGGAATCTGAGCAGTTTCTGGAGGCAGAAATATTGGTTGTACAACTTCTTATATATTGGACTATATTGACCATTTCATCTCTGCATAATATTGACATGTTCATGAGACACAATGGATGAATAGGGGAAGAGCCAGAGGAAGAAGATGGAAAAAGCCAAGTGTCTGGTCTTACGGGATCTGTCATAAAATAAAGAGTCTGCAAAAGAAATCTTGGGGCGAGCAGGCAGGCAAGCGTAGTGAGTTGTCAGGATGAGATGGTGGCAGCTGCACCTTCTCTAAAGAATCTTGTGGTTGAAGCTACTAAACAGCTAACTGTCAAAGATGCAATTTCCTAAGGAACCCAGGACAGAAGAGTGTGCTAGGGACACGTCCTTCCCTGCTTACATCCCTCCTGGTGACTTCTATGGTAAATAGAATTTGGACTAGAAAGACCTTTATTGTGTGAAAAGCTTTCTTAGGAAAGAGAAAGAATCTGTGCACAGTATGTTGGTTTTTTACGTTTCAGGTATTAGATTCACCTGCCATAGTGTGGGCACCAAAAAGACAGTTCAGCATGAGTTATCGCTTTCTCTTTATGATTAGTGGAGAAAAGGGGATGCTTAAGACACAGCTGACATACCTTGGGTGAAATGACATTTTCGTAAGTTTATTTTGTCCACTCAGAGCAGCCCGAAAGCAACAAACACAGTCCCAGTTGTCTTACTTTAGAACATCTGAAGCCAGTTAAGGTGACTCCTTGATTGATTACAGGAAGAGCCTTAGACTGTATATCAAAGCAGCTATGAATCTCCTCCAAAGAGGTGCTGAGTGCATGCTGCTCCTCTCAAATCAGGCTGAGTGTTCAATTGCTGTGTTCAGTTATTCATCAGTTCTGCAGGTTGTGACAGTGCTTTGCCTACCCTTGAGTTGGATGCTGCATATGCACCTTCATCTTTGTCTCCTTTTGGGTCTGAGCTGTGATTTTTCTGTGTTGATCCACCTCTGGAAGCCTCCAGGTTGAGTTTCACCTTGCGCAGCAGTTTGAGGTCAATCTTTCAAGACGTAGATGATCTTAGAGGTCTGTACCAACCTTAATAATTCTATGATTCATACAAAGGAGATCCCATGCATCTGAATGTTTAGGTTGTTTTGTATGGAGAGGTCTCTTTTCTGAAGCCATCCACATCGTAGCACCCCCTTAAGGTACAAGCATGTGCCAGAGGGTCCTTACAAAATAGCATTCTGGCTGTCTTCTCCAAATGGCAACTTTCAGACCCTTCGGATGTCTTGTTAGGCAAAAGGGTCATAGCCTGTTTTTTTCCCCTCAGATGCATATCTGAATCCAAAATAAGCCTCCTTGCTCGTGCAAATTGGCACAGGCTGCTTGACGCAGAGCCACGAATGGTCTTGCCTCCATGGTTTACGCAGGAAGAGATCGTCTTGTTTTATGTTGCTTTCTGTTTGAGGACAAATTGGCAGTCATTTTAGTTGCTCACTCCTTGTTAACCTAAATACAAATTGACACAGCACATTTTATTCAATTACCTGCAACACTATCACTTAAGCAAAATGCTTTATGCTCTTTTAACCATGCAGTTTAGTGTCCATACACTCGCCAGCGTAAGCAAGCTGCCGCTAATTAAATGCACATATAATATTGCTTGCTGCTTATTAAAACCACTGGAGCTGTCTTTCTTCATCTCTCAAAGTTTCTTGATACTGCCCAAAGAAGTTGCTGTTTCACTGGTTTTGGGCAAAGTTGCCAAAAACTGCCACTTTCTTCTTCTTTCCTATGCTTCACTGTCATGATGATAGAAAGCAAGGGTTTCTCAAAACCCATTTTTTTGTTAGTTGAAGCAACAGTCTGGCTGCAGTTTAGGGTGAAGTCATCTTGTATTGGGTTTTCCCCGTTTGGCATCATTTAAACCAAACAGTAAGAAACCAAGTGAGTTGTTTCCCTCCTTGCTTTTCAAGCCAATCAGAGCTCCTGCGAGTAAGGCAGAACTGGAGGAACAAGGCTATAAAATAATGAACAATTAGATAAAGAACACACTTCTTAATGCCTGTGACAGCTGCACATGCTGTAAACAAATACTTGAAAGGTATATTCCCATTAATAGCCAGGCAGTTGAGGAATTAAAAAAAATCGTGCCCTGAAAGGTTAACATTTCCCTTTAAGTGTGTTTAAATTCATATGCATATCCTTGATGTATGTTCTGAAGCAGCAAGGTTTGATATAGTGTAAGTATAAATACATCCACTTCCACTGAGTGATTCTGCAAATCCTATTTTGATAAGGTCTTAAATCTGTTGAGATCAGAGCATAAAATTCTCTTGTACCATCAGTGCTAGGTGAAAACAGTGCTTGCCAATTCCTTTTTTTCATACATATTTTTATTCTCTCCTTCAGAAGTGTAAGATACAGCAGTAAATCTTTTCTAGCTAGTAAATATATATGGTTATCAGATGTACAGAATTTAAATGCAAATTGGGCCAAATTGAACTGTGATGTAAGTGCATGAAGCCGAACTGACAAAAGCAAAGCTTCACACTGTTCGCTCTGTATCAAGGTTCAAGTTTATTATTGAGTAAATGTTCATTTCCATTTTAATAATTGTTGCAATCTACCTACTTATCTTGTCTCTTTAAGACCTTGATATGAATGTTCTGCAATAATGTGTTATGTGCAGGATAACAATATGTTTTCTAGGGCAGAAGTAAATCCAATATAGTGTTCTTCATTGTAGTATTATTTCCTACGTTGTTTCCTTGGATGATTCATAGGCATTTCGCTGCACTGGACCATAAAGGGCTTGTTAATATAATGATTTAATAATATTAAAGCTATTTAAAGAAACTCGCTGAAAGCAATGTGAATCTGCAGGAAGATGTTGCCTGAAAAGTATAATGATGCATTCCTAAGTGTAAGCCTTTGAATTGGTGTGATACCCTGGTAAACGGGACTGGGTCCCACACTTACCCTACGCACTGCAAAAAAACCCCAAACCCTGCAATAATAGTAAAAAAAAAATAAAATACTTGCCAATGAACAGAAGCCTTGGTAAAGATATTTCTGGTTTTGTTCAGATATAACTAGTATTGGCTGAAGTCCTGAGGCTCCTCAGACAGGAAAACGTCAGGTATTTTGAGAATTGAAAACCAAAGGGAAGTTTTTGTTACTTTCAAGGAATGAGATAGTACAGTTCTCATTTCTTCAGCAGAAAATGGAGGACATGCATTTTTCTGGGTTTTACTCCAGGATATAAACCACAATCTTTCTCAAATGTGCCCCTGCTAGTTGTTTTTGTGTTGAATTTATCCACTCAGTACAGCTCCAGAAATACACACCATTCATTTGACTTGTACTATCCATTTTTATGACATAGAAACTTAAGTCTTTCAGAAATATTTGGTCCCCAAACAGTCACCTCTTGATTTTTTTTTTTCTGTCATCATTGCTTTAGATATCTGTTCTCTGAAGACTATATCTGAGTGGAAATGCGCTCTGGAAAAATCCCTTAATGATGCAGCAAACTTTCCTCTTCCAATGGAAGTGTTCAAGGTAAAAGATACATATTTTTCCTTTGCTTACAGAACCCACGATGAATAAATATCATTCAGTGTTTAGCAGCTTAAGTTAAAATATTGCAGGAAAGGCTGTTGCTTTAATACATCACCATGAAAGGTCACGAGTAAGGTGTTTGTATAAAATGTGGTTTTATTTGTGGACTTGCCATTCTGAGAGAACTGATTTCTTGCAGTCAGTCTTTTCTAGGGTCTGGGGATTTTCAGCACTGATTCCTCAGCATTATTTCTGATGTGTCTTGATTCTGTTAAGACCTATGTGAAGGCACCGTATGCAACTGTGCAGTTATAAGGATACAAATACGAAAGCTGACATGAGCTGGGTCTGTGAGCCTTGCACTGAAATTTCCATATGATCACAAGCCACAAAGCAGAGAAAGCTCCTTCGGGGACCTAGAGTGGAAGTGGGAGATAATTTTGCTCCTACTTTTTTTTGTGTGTGTGTCTTCTCACTCCGATTTTTAATAGTTGGGAGATGTGCTTCAGCCCTGAGGCTCCAGCTTTAATTTCCTGTCCAAATCTGCACTGCTGTTAATCATGACGGCTCCGGATAACCCTGATTTCCAGCTATGCTGGTTTGGTTTCTAACAGCTACATCCTCGCAGCGGTGTGGTGGGCAGCATGGCTGTGGCAGTGACAGGATGCTCGGGGAGCTGTGTTGAAGCACAGCAGTGCCTCGCTGTCTCCAGCACCTCCTGCTTGGGGACCTGGTAGATGACGGTGCCCTCCCTAACACCATTCATGGCTCTGGGTTCCTTCCTTGCCTTTAAGCAGCATTGCACTGGGACGCCCCAAAAGCGATCATGCACATGTACTTGGCACTGGTGAGGCCACAGCTTGAGTACTGTGTTGAGTGTGAGAAAGACACTGAGGTGCTGGAGCATGTCCAGAGAAGGGCAACGAAGCTGATGAAGGGTCTGGAGAACAAGTCGTCTGAGGAGCAGCTGAGGAAACTGGGATTGTTGAACCTGGAGAAAAAGAGGCTGAGGGGAGACCTCATTGCTCTCTACAACTCCCTGAAAGGAGGCTGTAGTGAGGTGGTAGCTGATCTCTTCTCCCAGGTTACTCATGATAAGAGGAAGTGGGCTCAAGTTGCACCAGGGGTTGTTTGGATTGGATATTAGGCAACATTTCTTTACTGAAAGAGTTTTCCAGGGAAGTGGTGGAGTCACCATCCCTGGAAGTGTTCAAAAAATGTGTAGATGTGGCACTTCGTAACATGATTTAGTGGTCCATGGTAGTGTTGGGTAGATGGTTGGACAAGATCATCTTAGAGGTCTTTCGCAACCTTAGTGGTTCTACGATTCTAAAACACCCATGGAACTGGTGCAGTTCACATGTAGATGTGGCACTTAGGGACATAGTTTAGTGGTGGAGTTAACAGTGTTAGGTTTACGGTTGGACTTGATGTGGCTCAGGGGAGACCTTATTGCTCTCTACAGCTACCTGAAAGGAGGTTGTAGTGAGGTGGAGGTCGGTCTCTTCTCCCAAGTAACAAAAGATTGGACAGGAGGAAATGGCTCAGGTTGTGATAGGGGAGGTTTAGATGGGTACTAGGAGAAATTTCTTGACCAAGAGGATTGTCAAGCATTGGAACAGGGGGATTGGTTGAGTCGCCACCCCTGAAGGTATTTAAAAGATGTGTAGATGAGGTGTTCGGTGACATGGTTTAGTCGTGGGCTTAGGTTGATGGTTGGTCTCATTGATCATAAAGGTCTTTTCCAACCTATATGATTCTATGATAATTATATCTTAAAGGGCCTTTCCAACTTAAAATGAATCTATAATTTTACGTTTCTGTGATTCTGTGATTGGAAGAAGGCACTCACTATGTCCCATCCTGGCTGGTATGCCAGGAAACCTTGATGCCACCTTCACCCTTTCTGCAGGGATGTGCCAGCAGCAGCAACCTGCGAGGAATCCAGGCTCCTCGCCCAGCTGAGATGTACTTGAATTAGCAGTGTTAATTTAGGAATGCTTTGCCAATGGCCCAGGCAATGGCTCATTTTCTTACCGTGTGAAAGCTCTGCTAGGCTGTGAGAAGTGGGAAGATTTGTGCGTTGGCTTTCAGCACGAACGTGGGTTTGAGAAGCCCCGTGTTGTGATGGGAGTGGAGTGCGGGGAGTTTTGATTCTCAGCCATTTGTTTCATTCGATCTGCCAACTCTGTGAAAGTTTACATTTGCAGTTTCAAGATCAAAAATGCGTTGTGTGGGTCAGGGATTAAGTCACAATAGAAAATAGATAACGTGTAAAGTTTGCTCCTCTCTATATGAAAGAATGAAAAATGTTTCTGATGAGGCTCGTAAAACATCCTCTTAAAAAAAGTTTATAACTAGAAGCTGTTTTGCTGCCTCTTCTCAGCATGCCAGACTTATACTCACTTATTTTAATTATTGCATGAGGGTCATAAATTTAAATTCAGCAAATCCCAGTTGCCATGCTATGCGGTCAAAGCTTGCAAAGACGTTCCTCTTAGAAGACAATGCAAAACATTGGAATGCTTGAATGGCCCAAGAGAGAGTTACTTTGGGGCCAAATGTGACAAAAAGGCAGGATTAGGTCAACAGGGCTTCTGTGTTTGTAATGTGGAAGCTTAGAACAAAGTGAGCTAATTCAATGTCTGGTGTTACCTAAACCCCTGGTTCTTGGGAGACAGGAGGCTGATAAATTATTTGTGTGTGGGCACCACTTTTTTCTGCCTATTTAGGGTGAATCAATCCCGTCTTGTGCCTGTTAATTAAGGAGAAAAAATAAGACAGCTCATCCGTGCCTGTGAACATGTCTTTGTCCAGCAGTGACTTAAACACGAGTTAAGGAAAGGCTTTAGGAGACCATATGAGAATACACTTGTCTGATCTTACAAGATAAGCCAATATTTTTGTGTGGGTCCTTCAAGAGAAATCCTGGGTCACAGCAAAAAAATGTTGAACTCAACGCGATGTGTATTTATTTATTTATTTATTTATTTATTTGCAAACCCAGCACAGAAGTAGTGTCACTACATGGTGCCTGGGGCTCCGTGCTACTGTAACTGTCATGTGTTAGATGAGATATAAAACACAGGGTTTGACAGCTGGCAACTGTTAAAGATCTTCTGGAAAGCTGGAAATGTTTACTTTGGCAGACATGGTAAACTGCACACCGAGCAATTATATTCTTCATTTTCTACATTTCCCTGCAGAAATCCATCACTGAGGACACCGTAAGTGTGTGCCTCCTCTACAGACCCTGGGGTGAGCACGTGCATGTTTGGCTGGATTATGAGTTAAATTGCTGTTGTCGTTCGAGCTGTGCACGACTGGAGGGGGACACCAATAGGCTGGCAAAGTGGTCCCAGGTGGTGGTGCCGGGGAAGCAGATCCACATTTGTAGTGCAAGAGGTTACTCCTCTTATGCGTCATCAGAAGCCCTGTTGACCTAATCCTGCCCTTTTGTCACATTCGGCCCCAAAATAACTCTCCTCTTGGGCTATTCCAACATTCCCATGTTTTTTGTTGTTGCTGTTGGTGGTGATGCTTTTTGATTTTGGTGTATTTTACCTGAGACCTCATAAGCTGTGAATTTGAGCCCGAGTTATCAACTCTCAGAACTTGCAGAGCTGAACTTGAATGTGGTGGTCTTTGGCGGCAGATCCAAATATCTTCCTCGAAAGCACGGCCCTGATCCCCTCTTGTAATCCAAGGAGAGGGCACCAGCCACCAGACCACACCAGCTGGTCGCAGAAAATCAGGATGAAGGCTGCAAACAGATTCTTCTTTATTTCTAGTGCTATTTTACACTTGGCCATATGTCCAAAGTGTAAAATGCTCTAGGATCCTTTGAGAAGGAGCATGATGTTCAAGTGCCAGAAAATGCTGCTATTATATAGCTACTAAACATAGTGTTTTGCAAACTGTACATACCGAAAAAAGATTTTTCTTCAAAAAAGGACACCCGCTATTTTGCTGTTCCGTTCTTTTCAGAAAATGTACTGGTCCTTTAAGAAAACTAAATACAGACAGGGTTTTCAAGGGTGTTTTGAATGCCACAGCCCAGGGAGATGAGTCCTTTGCTGTTTCTGCTCTGATTTCAAGGTGCTGGGGGAACCCCCTATGGTTGGCTAGATACCAGTCATGAATGAGAGCTTTGGCTTCAGAGGACATCTGAGAAAATGGCCAAGGATTTGAGTATGAATAAGGGTGGCCAGACTGTTACTGGGGCCTGATTACAAGTTAAGTGTGACAATTTCAGCAGTTTGCTTCATGGATAGCTTTGCTGGTCTTCTCTAAGAGAGAACCTTGCATCAGGATGCCAGACTCTGAACCTTCTAGCCCTAAAATTTAAGAATCAATGCAATTTTTACATTTAAAGTCCTGTCTTTACCTTGCATAAAGTGAAGACTGCACACAGATCATGGGATTTAGTTTCCTAGAGAGAGGCAGACTGCATCCTGGGGATCTTCTCTGACTTCCCATTATGTTTCTCCTGGTCTCCTGTGCCATATCTGTGGGTCTCATGTAGATGTTGTGGATCCTCAGGTGTCTTTCGGCTCATCCCAGCCACTTGCTTGGGCAACTGACTCTGACCCAGGAGTTTTTCCATAGATGTTGCATTTGGGCATCCTATTCCCAGTTCCCTCTGATTGCTACAAAGTGGGCTCTGATGACTTGGATGGAGCTGTCACCAACCCCATCCCTAGCCCAAACTCTTAAACTGCTCGAAGAGCACACACACTTAAGGAGGGAGAGGTGTTATCTAAGACAGGTGGCAATTCCTGATTTATAGCCTTCGGTCTCATTCCTCTTGTCTCCACTCTTTACTCCTCCTTCCCTAAAGTTGTAACTCTTTTATTCTAGTTTGAAATTGTTCTCTCTCAGGGAAAAAATAAGCTATATACTGTGCCCAGTCCAGTGTGCCTCTGTTTCTAGCTGGAACTTTTGGATGTTTCCTGTAATCAGTGATAGTATTAATTAGTGGTAAGACTAATGACATGGAA